TTTTTTTTTTTTTTTTTTTTTTTTTTTTTTTTTTTTTTTTTTTTGTGGACTTTCATTTTCCTTAAATAAATGTTCCTCCACATATTGGTTTACCTTTTTCCTTTCCCCTTCCTTTCTTGGACATGATTGGAAAGCCAAAGTTCTTTTAATTTGACATATTCCTCACTCACTTAAGAATCGTGAGGAATTCTCAATGAGAAGGTGTTGAGGAGTGAATGGGGTCGAGATTTGGTGAGATGGGAAGTTGAATCAAGGGGTTCAAGGAGGATGGGTAAGATATAGGGAGGCAGATAGGAACTTAACTTGCTCCATTGGCATGTATAATGGGGTAGTGATAATGATTGATGGAAGTAATGGGCGGTAATGACTTAAGAAAATATTGTGTTATAGACGAAAATTCAAAATTTTTTATCAGAGAATCTAGTCCATATTGACTGCCTAAAAAATTATGATCAATAAACCACATGTTAGATGAAAATAAAAAGACAACACTCGAAGTTATTGACTTTCAAGGCAAGGCTGGGCAAGGCAAGTAACAGCTCTTCCATCATGTGATTGGTTCTTTTTTCTTTCTTTCTTTCTTTTTTAAGTAACTATGTGCTTTTGAGCTAGCTTGCGTCCACCTTGAAAAATCATACCTATCACTGTAACATTTGATGTTAGGAATTTGTAGTATATTTGACAACTCAGAACTTAGATAGGCAGCCATCAGCATTTTAACCTACAAGTATGGATTGCTAACTTTCTCAAATAACCTGTCCATATTTGATCAATTACATTAGTCTCTTTCTTGAAGTTCTGATGTTCTCGTGATAGGATTATAGCTTCTGTCATTTGTTTTAGATCATTTTTGTGAATTTTGTATTTCCTGCTTTTGTTTTTATTTATTTATTTAATTATACTTTCAGTTATATTTTTACAGGAAGATGGTACAAGCATTGAGGAGCTAAAAGTTGGAACAGGGCATGTGGCTGCCAATACTATAAGGCTCCTTATTGCTGGATCCCAAGCAGGTTCTTTGATTGGTGCCTCAGGTCAAAATATTGAAAAATTAAGGAATTCTTCTGGTGCGTCAGTTACAATCCTTGCCCCAAATCAGTTACCTCTTTGTGCGTCTGCTCATGAATCTGACCGAGTGGTGCAGGTGAACTTTTCCACATTGTTCTCAGATGTTAGAACATAGATATTTTACCATTCTTTCTGCCTTCCGATCATGTTCATCACTTTTTGTTTGTATCGTAATGAATGACCAGTGTTACAGCTATTATTGATGCTATGTGATTTTAAAATTGAGCGAGATATTTTAGTAGCTGTCAATTGCAATTAGTGAGGTGAAAACAATCTCTTGGTTTTACTCTGGGCATCAGTGATGTAATTACTCTTTAGGTATTGTCTAACTTGATTGACAGAAAACCCATAGGAAGACTTCCACTTTTTTGGGTACTCTAGCTCCCCAAATCGCTTTTAACAGAGTAACATCAACAGTCGCTTGATGATCATAAAGTTCAGGAGCGAAGGAGTTGAGAAAACTGTTTGTCAATGTTAAGGATCCACGATTTGGATCCCTTCACATTCGATGGGCGCTTTGCTCAAGGAGGCCATGGAGCTCAATGCATTCTAAAGTTTCTTCATCAGTCCAATTCCTTCTTAAAGGAACAATCCAATCGTTGGAAGAGGAGGAACAACATTGGGTCAATAAAACTATCTTTAGACCATGCAACATTAAAAATTTGAGGAAAAGATGATTTAAGGGCCTGTTCATTCACATCCACTTATCTACCCAAAACCGGATCTTGTAGCCCTTGCCATAGTTGATTTGAGAAGCAGTTCCATTTGGGATTTTTAAGATTGGCATTTTTAAGATTGGCATTAGAAGATGAAGTTACACTGTTTCTTTCTAGGTTTGGATATTCTATTGCTGCTTGCTTGGGAAGGTGACCTTAGAAGTGTTAGGGAATGGAAATTGGTCTTAGAAATGAGAATGCTGCTAGAAATTTTCCGCCAGCCTTATTCTTCAAGATACATTCCTTGTTAATAATTTTAATTTTACATACTATGAATCATTTAATTTCAAGTATTTTAATCATTCTTAAACGTGCACATAACTATTTACCGAATAGATCATCTATTGAATTTTATGCAAATGTTGTGAAATTGTCATTCTCCTTCTCTCACATTGCTAGGTTACTTTTCTTGATGTCTTGATCTCACATTACACTCATTTAATCTCACTTTTTGAGGCATCCAAGATCATGTTATTAAGAGCTGGCACTGACGATCGACTTTGTTTTGTCTGGAACTCAGATATCAGGGGATGTTCCTGCAGTTTTGAAGGCTCTTGAGGAGATAGGCAATCAGCTAAGGTCTGATATTGAATATTGTTTCAGAGTTTACCTGATTCATGTGCACTTCTGAAACTGTTACTTAAACTACACTCATTTTCTGGTCACAAGATGATTGCAGTAGACGTTTCTTGAGATAAGTCAAATCTCGGTTTTTTTTTTTTGGTAGTGATTTGGGCTTTAATTTTCAGGGTAAATCCTCCTCGGCAAGTCATTTCTGTTAGCCCAACATATAATTATAATGCAATACATCCGCCACAGTCATATATGGATCCAACCTCAGGTTATTCACTGGTTTCTGTATCAAATAAATTCTTTCTGATTCTGTCTTTTGTATCTGAAGTTTTAATATTTTTTCTTCTAACCACATCATCTTTAGGAAAATCAATCTTGCAGTTAATTATGTAACCTTTGAAATGTTGATATCGGAGACGTTGGTGGGTGGGTTGATTGGGATTGGTGGCTTCAACATATCAAGAATCAGAAATGAATCTGGCGCAACAATCAAGGTCAGCAAACCCTGCAGATTTAATTTCATTATGAAAGGTCTTGAAATTCTGTTCCTAAAACTTATATCCTTACACTATTCTTCACAGGTTTGTGGTGGAAGAGGTGAACAAAATTACAGGCAATTACAATTCGGTGGAAGTGCTGAACAGGCATGACTTTTTCTCTTACTTTTAGGTTTCATGAACTAGCACTAATTCATGCGATGGGCAGGAGGGTGATCTTATATCATTAAAACTGTCAGATTCTAAGACTTGGTATACTAATTATATTATTTTTATTGTAATATAATGTAGGCTGGGTATATATATATATTAGCTTCCATACATAGATATCCGTACTCATGTTTTTATACACCTTGCTTTTTTGTTGTTTGGGTTTTATTTCTGTAAAAGATTCAACAGCTGAAAGTAGCAATTTTAAAAACTTACACTCATGAAACATGCAAATAGAAGGAATGAATTGGACATCAAAAGAATCTACCTGTAAGTTGTTTAAGTCAAAATCATTTATACCAAAGACGTATACCTTCGAAATTTAAGGTCTAAAACTCGAGTATCGAGTAATGATGTATATTTGTCACTGATTACCTGTAAGTTGTTTAAGTCAAAATCATTTATACCAAAGACGTATACCTTCGAAATTTAAGGTCTAAAACTCGAGTATCGAGTAATGATGTATATTTGTCACTGATTACCGAAACATATGATTTAGGAGGTGCCAGAAGTTGACTAATTTCTACTTTTGGAGATAGGTGACAGAAGTAGAGTAGCCTTATAATATCTTTCTAGAGTGTTTTTTTTTAATACAATTCTTCGTTCTTATTTGTATTATTTTCTGGTGAAGGATCTTCATGTTGAATTGTTTGGACGGTTTACAGGTAGCATTGGCTAAGCAGAGGGTTGATGAATATATTTATTCTCAGTTGATGCGACAAGCTGGTGTTCAACCGACAGCGTAAGTTTTCCTTGAACTCTCTCTCTCTGAAATAACTTTCCTTTGGTGAAGCCATAGTCTAAGTTCTATGGTCTTATCCCACAAGAAAAATTAAAATTGAATTAAAAGTTTCATACAAATCGAACTTCTATGTTCCTAACAGAAAATTCAAGACGCTAAGTTGTTGTTCTCAGTAATACTCTTTAACAGAGGCAAAAAATGACTAATACTTAAATTTCCACCAGTACTTGAAATAAACGGTAAAATGAATGATAAGACTTTGTCAAGCCATTCAATGTTTAATATTTAGAATCATGGACATGGAGGGTGAGTTCGTGATGATTTTTGGAAAGGTAAGATGTTTTTAGTCGTTTCGGATTCACAAACTTAGGAAATAGAAATGTCCTAATCACACTAAACTTAAAAGTGCTTCAAAATTTTAGGCTAAATTATCGAACTTTCGATAATAACCTTAGCTTCCATAAAAAGTTCAAAAATAAGATCGTTAGTACTTTCTTTTCTTGAACTTTCAAAAGTTTTATTAATATCTTGACTTCTAAAGAAATCATGTTTTTTTTATGGTTAGTATAGGAATGAAAACTCTTTCATCTTCGCGTTCTTCATTTTTTTTTCCCTAAATATCAAAATTTGGAGAGGTTCTCTAATTTTTTAGCCTTCTCAATTATAAATATAGAAAGGTATTAAATTTCTATGACATCAGAACTCTATTTCTTGTTGCAATTTGAGGCTATTCTTGAATGTATTGTTTCATCTGCTATATTTTATGAACTTCAACGCATTCTGTGGAAGAAAAATTATCTTCTTTTTACGTTTAAGGTGAGTTCCTCTCAAATGTTTCTGTTATTTCAACCATGACAGTCACAAGTGTTTCACAAATTGAATGAGAAATTGTCTTATAAATATGATTGTGCTTTGTTTCAAACTGAACTAGATAGTTTCAAATGTTTCAACTTAGTAACCCTACAATTTGGAACAATCTTGGCATCTTTGCATTCATCAAATATTTGACCATTTTCATCTGTCATGATTCCTTTTGATATCAGTTCATTTCCTCTATTAGTAGTTTCGAAAGAAAGCACGACAACTATGCCAGTTTAGGGATTAAATTGAAACTTTTAGAACCATCAGAACTAACAACGTATTAGAGGGGCTAAAACGATAATTAAGCCAAATATTATCGGGTTCTTTTGCTGCTAACGAACAAGAAATTTGAGTGTGTAAGCTCATATGGTACATCATTGTTGTTCAGTCTGCAGATGTGGTAAATCTCAAACATGGAGGAATTATTACTTTATAATGCCAACATCTGTGCATGGGAATCTCTGAAGAACAGCTCCTACAAACATCAATCTGATGACTGAGTAGTGGAGATGTGAGTACAGTTGATGAAGTCAAATAATGGTTTTTTTTTTTAAATTTTTATAATTATTTTATTTTTAAGTGTGACATATTGTAATTGTGGAAAATAGTTGTCTGAATATTTTCTATACTAACAGCTTAAAGGTTTCTATAGCTATAAAAGGCTGATAGGAAAAGTTTGGCCTTCAGCTCTGAGTCCTCAATCTTGATCATTATATGAACATGTGAGAGGATACAAGTTCATACTACATTCACATTAGTCTTTTTTTTTTTTTTTTTTTTTTTT